TGTATTGGTGCTTGTTGTTTTCTACGCATTTATGCAGTGTTCGGTTGCTTTAATTTTTGGTCTCAGAGAGTTACCAGGCAGTTTAATTATAATATAATATTGAAAAAAAAAGAAATAAACTGACGATGAACATAAAACACAAATTGTTGTAAGGCCAATAAATAACAAAAAAAAAAAATTTATAAATAAATAAAGATAAAAAAAATTAAAAAGTGAAAAAAAGACTGAAAGGGGAAAATTAATTTAAAAAATATCTTAAAGTTATTAAAATTACTTAAGCGAAATTATAAGCAAGCAGTCAAGTATAAAAAAGTACAAATAAAAACCGTAAAACAAAAATACTAAATTCAATTAAAAGTGTTATGGTGCAACATGAGAAGTTTTTTTTTTGAATAGAAATTCGTGTATAAGGCACACAGAAGCAATAAACCTACTTGCAATCACAAAAAATCTTGCATTTGTTTAGTTTACTTACAGCTAGAGATATATAGAATACCGTTAGAGTTTTTATCTTATGCCTAAAACATACGCCGAAGCGCAAACAATTTCTTCACATTCAATACCACTTTCTTTTAAAGGTTTCTTAAACTCTTTTGCAGCTATGTGGTTTACAAATATTTCAACTGGAAAAGTATACGAGATTTCTTTTTTGCTCACGCCTTACATCGAGCTCTTCGCATTTCAGTCCTTGCTGGTCCTGAAATAATTGTAGACATTGGGCCAGGCGGCTAAGACATAATCCTCAATGCCGCATTCGTTGTCACCGCGCGCAATGCGGAAATAGCCATGTTCACCCCACCAGGGACCCCAGGAATTGGCGGCAACCTGTTAAGAGAATAACGACCAGAATTAGAATCAGTTCAGTCATATTTTTCGCAATCTCTTCATCCGAACACACACCCAGTACTTGACGCCATCGTGCTCCTCACCCCAACCGACCAATTTCACCGAGTGGAAACCAGTCGGACTGCTGCGACTGGCTGCGGTGTGCCGGTAGACACCACCCGAGTAGGCAAAGAAATCGCGGTAGATGCGCATTGTGGCCTGCACCGGGCCGGAATGGAAGATCTCCGCCATTATATCGGTTTCGTTATTCAGCGAGTAAGCCGGACCTGTAGTGTAAAATTCATCGCGGTCGGAGATGGATGACGGACGGCAGCCGTAGGAGCTGAGTAAACGACGGCCACCATGACGAACTTTGCACGTCTCGCGGCGTCCCGTGTAAGGATAGCATTTCTCCTCTAAAACACTACAAAAATAATGAATTTCTTAATTAGCGTATACTTTTTACTAAAATATTATTAACAACTTACCCCTGCTTGTGGAGATAACGCCACGCAGCGTCCAAATGACCGCCATTGCAACCCTGCTGTTTGCGTGTACACGACAAAATATTCTGTGGCGATAGCTGTACAACTTCCTTGCCCTGCGATTGTATGGCAAAGCGATCTGAGGCAACCGATGTGGTGGATAGCACCCAAGATGAGCCGCACCAACCTACAAAAATTTAGCATACAAAGTTAATGTAACAGTAACGCTACCTTCTCTATTCTTCTCTTATTCACCCACCTTGATCTGGCACATCATTTATGAGGCTCGCCCATCGATCCACGGCGTTGAATTGACGTGGCAAGGCGCCTGCTTTATTGGTCAATCGTGTCATTGCTTTGACGCGGAATGTTGGTTCCTTGGTACCCAAACGTAATGTTAGGCCCTCCGAGTATTTGTGTCCCCACCACTCGTCATATTTGCGTGCCGACCAACCTAATTGCCGTATGGAGTTCACATTGTTAACCAAATTGTCATCGGTGAGACAGACATCACGATCGCACTCCACTACACCGCCTTCGAGACAACGACACTCATTACAGTTGTCGGTGGTGGTGTTGTATTTGTTAAAATAGATGCCATTGTGTAGGCATCGGATTATCGGATCCGGCGCATTCAGGCAGAACGAACGGTAATCGGGACAGCAGTCAGAGGATTGATCGCGGTCACAGAATTCATCACAATAGCAGAGTGTGGCTGTGGGTGGAAAATAAGTACATATTGACAAGTTAGATGTGCCATTTTTATACACATATACATAAATACGTATGTACATTGAAAAAAAAAAATCAATTTTATAAATCGGTTTAAACAAATAACTAACGAGCTCCAGGAATACGCACTATCCGCTATGAGTGCTTTAAATACAGGAACAAGGCTTTTATTAACTCGTTGTCTTGTACACCTCTCACCGCAATCAAACGAACTCTTAAATAATACAAAGACAAATACCTGTTCTTTTAAAATAGAGCTAATAATGGAAACTTCGAGAACTGGCCACGGACGTACATACATACATATGTATGCCAGTATATTCCTCAAATTTACAGAGCTTTTTTGAATGTGGTCCGAAGTGTAATATCTCCGGGTCATCTTTGACTTTAAAATAACAAAAGAGAAGCGCGTAGCCATGACCGTTCAATCCCAATATCCTACGGTGTACATATGTGGACCATAAGCCAGCAGCAACATTTGGAGCGGTAACCTGGTCTCGAAGGTCGGACTTCAGCACAAAGCATATAGCAGGCACTGGCGTATTCATTGCAGTCTATGAGCCCATATGGATGCCACAGGATTCAGCTCAGACGACTTCTCTCAGAAACGCCATTTCATCTAGTTCTAGAAAAAGACGCGGAGCTATAAGAAAAAAAATGAAGTTCAAGGAGCTGTGGCCAGGTACTAAGTACGCTAAGTGGCTTTTCATTAGGGATTTAGGGATAGATGAGGTCTTTTAATGAGTTATGGCATAATAGATGTAAGGTCGCAGAGGAAGATCTACATATATCGGGAGTCGAAAGCATCTAGCTATCCCGTAACGGACGCGGTACTTTGGTACTTCTGGGTATTAAAAGATTGAACAGTTTAAAATCCATTTTCTTTTGGTTGGACACCGTCGAAACTTCCAGTCATTAGAAGTTTATAAACGAGGAGAAAGAATCAAGCCGATCGAGGTATCAATTGGGAAAATTAATAAAAATCCCAAGGATATGGTCAGCTTGTGACCTTTCTTCGTTCAAATCTCTCTACTTCACGTCCAAAAAAAAAAAAATACGAGTAGCAAATAGCGGTCATAGAATATTTTTATAAGCATAAATTATTATCCAGTACGTCATAATATAATTTTACAAGAGCAGAGTAATTATTGTACAGTCTACTTTCCCCAAGGGGGTTCCGCGTAAGTGGAACTACGGGCTTGACAACCCCGGGGCACCCAGACAAAGGCTACCAGTCCTGAGTCAGTGGAGGCTCAGCTGATAGAAGAGTCTTCGGCTTTCGAGGTCTTACCAGAGACTTAAACCTGGTACCACAGGGAACAGATATCTCCGGAGTGTGTTCACCGGCTAGATGGGCAAAACTAGCTGGATGAGCAAGGCGAGCAAGACAAGCACGATGAGCACTGGCAAGACTTGCAAAACGGTGAGAAAGAAGTTGAATAAAAAGAAGAAAAAAAAATTGGTGAAATGGTATATAAATAACGGTAAAACGGTCTGCCTGGTGAGCATTACTCCGGTCTGTTCATGGGTACGGCCTTTCGGGGAGTATCGGGGGGCTGTGGTTTAACACCCAAATGTGGGTAGAACCAGTAATTATTCAATGTGGAGTTGGATTGCAACCGGGTGTCGGGACCCAAAGAAGGGCAGAGGTTTTGGTAGGCCACGTACCCTACAAAGGTGTGTTCACCCCACACTGCCAAACGCTACCGAAATGCTTTCATTTCGGGGCGCTTATCATCACTTGGAGTTGAGACATTGTGCTGTTGAGCACCATGAGATAAGGTCGTCTTCGACGAGAGGTACTCACGATAAATCTCAAACACAATTGTACGGGCTACTTAAGATATACTGGTGTTCTGCCTAATGTGAAGGTAGGAGAGTATTTTAAAGGATTTGCGAATCAAGTAAAATCGCTCAAATTTCTTAGGGTCATGGAGGTTTTCTGTGGAACACTGTATTTTCAGAAGTTCTGGGGTATTTGTCAGAAGCACCAATTTACCTAGAGCGGCAAAATCATACTAAATTAACCTAGTCTTACTAAATTTCCTAAAAAAAACCGATTGATTATTTACTTACTTGAAATTGGCATCGCACAGCCATCTTCTCTGTTTCGACAACAGATATTCTTCGCCGCACAGTAAGGACCCGGATAGTCATATTTGAGTGTGTGATCAAAGGCCACTACTGCGCCGAGTAGTGTGAGGGCAGTGAGCAACCGCAGGCCCATGGCCGCCTTACCAATTTTACGATTCATATTTTTGCAATATGCTGTCAGGCTGTAAGTAGAGAGCGAAAAGTTAACAAATTAATATTAGTCATCGTAATTTTATTGGCATATAAAGGATTAAGAAGAAGAGATTAAGTCAAATTGCAATTTCATATGGTGTGTATGTACATACATAAGTATGTACTTAATAATACAACGACCCTGTACTTTTAATTCGCAATTTAAATTTATTGCAAACGTTAACCCAATTTTGCATCAGAATGTGCTCATTTTTTGAAAAATACTATATATAAACAAATAACAATTTTCAGCGAACTTTTTTGTTTTGTCTTCTTTAGTTGGTTATCTTCTTTATAAACGTTGGCACTACGTAGATCTTTAACATGAAAAAAGAATTAATAGCAACAACTTGGAAATAAACAGGGAATATCTCCCATGAAAATGTAAAAAAGATAACAAGATCCCTTAAAGTATATATGTGCAAATGTAAAAGTGAACGCATATACTAAATATTTACACAGATTTATGTACATTAGGGTGCATCGCCATAAAAAAACCGGTACTAATTTTCCATCGGAGCTATAAAGTTTATTATATTTTAAAACTTGCGCCAAAATATTTCTGAAAAATATTTAGACTAACAGGAGCGGGGTTCATATGAAAATACCCGAAAAAGATTTTTTTTATAAATAAAATTAGTTTTTAAAAGTATTTTTCCCAAACGTTTGCTTGAAAATGTTTAAAAATTGTATCAGCCGAATCATTGTAATCGGACTTTTGGAGGTGTTTTCATGAGCGTGTAGCTCCCGTAAATATTGCGATTTTTCCGAAATATTTTGTTGGCAGAAGTCTTACTCCCAAATTCATAAAAAGAACTAAAGAAGACTTTAACTACATTATAAATCGAGAATTTGTATGAAAGTCTCACTATAGAGCGCTTTAAATCTTTTATTTTTTTTTTATGAAGAAGGCCATTAGAATATAACAATTTGTTTTCATGAAGCACCCTAATTTTCATACATATGAACATAGTATGTCTTTAGGTGTATATTTACATATTTGCAAATATATTTTTTTCCGCACTGGAAAGCTGCGGGTAATTGTGGCGACAGTAGTGATTTCCCAACTAGAATGCTTCAAAAGCCTTCCAGAGCCAAAACTGATTTGCAGCAACCTTTGTTAGCCCCCAAAGCAACACCTCACTTTGTTGAAGCATCAAAAGAGAAGCTTAGTAACTAGAAAATCTCAACCGAGGATTTGCCATGGCAGATTTTTATTTTTTTTTTTTAATTTTTCTTTTGTTCCATTTACGGTTGAAACTTCATTTGCGTTGCTGATAAGATTTTATTTCCTATTTTTGTGACCGCATTTAACCGCTCATTTATTTGCTATTTATTTTCATTTTTTTACTTGTTTGTTTTTATTTACGTTTTTGCTGTGCCGAGATGCGTTTGTTGACAGCAGACACATTGGCGGCTGCCGGCTGCGCTCTGCGTGGTGGGAGGGCGTCACTTATACACAAATGTCTACCTACATACATACATACATAATGTGTTATACAAAAAGCATTTGTGAATATTTATGGGGTATACATATGTGGCATTTTACCACAATTTTTGCAATTTTTAAATTTCTTGTGTTCATACAAATATATTCTGTCAACAGCTGAATGGTGTGAAAAATAGGCAAAGATGAGGATTTAAAAAAAAAATGCGCTTAAAAAGAAATAAACCTAAATAAAATTATACAAATTAGGAACGTTTTCTCAAGTTGCTTTTAAATTTATCTGCCCTTCAAATATATTTTTTCAGAATAAAATTTGTGTATGAAGGGTACAGAAAGTTATCAATTGATTCCTCCTCATTCTCATGGCAGAAGATTCTGAGGTGAAACATCGCTGGTATTCGCCATCGTTGGAACATTGGTGTAATGACACAGTTGGAAGTGAGGATGTTGGTAAGAACTCTTATGGCGGACCTGCTGAATTTTAGAAGATCTTCTGTCTTGTTCGTTATTTAACGGCGGTTAAAGTAACCTTGAGGTCCCACAATCCTCTCGTTTGGTTTATACGGCCTTTATAACGTCTACAGGGATTTGTCGAGTTTTCTTAAAAGGTTCAATAAATAGTAGTTATTTAGAGTCGTTTATTGACATCCCAGTTCCGATTGAAACCATGTGGAAGACCAATTGCCTTCTCTTAAGCATAAATATAAGCTCCTGCTCAGATCTCAAACTGGCTAATCTGCAGGTACTTCGAGTGAAACAAGCACCGGTTTATCCATCAGGTCGATTGAAGTCTCAAACCGGTATAATGAAGTTACTGCCGTTTTCTCACTCAGCTATGCCGATATGCCGAAGCTTGAGTCGCAAGTAATGCCGCTTTTGAACTCATTTTATATATTCTGACCGATAAGAAAATAAATTAGTCGCCTTTTACCCACCCATAGTTGAAGAAAAATATCTTTAAATAGTTCGAAAAGCGTGCCTGCGAATTCCCGAAGTAAGTGTTTAAAAAAAAAAAAGGTTCGATATATGTACATACATGAATATGTATATTTTCTTGATGAAAACTGCGCGAAGCTACGCAAATTTAATGTTTGAAAAAAACAGGAATATCAATGGATTTTATTTCGCTTTTGTCAAAGTAATAATGTCAACTGACATTACTTCGCACCAATGGATCATCTGTGACCAGTGGATCACTTTGATGTTAGTACCTATGGTATTATCAGTATTTTTAAACTTATCGTTCTTGTTATTTTCGTCGTTAGGTATCGTTTTCGTTGTTGTTATCGTTATCGATTTTTTATTGTTATCGATTTTGCTACTGTTATCGTTATCGATATTTGATTTCGATATAGATATCCATATCAAAAAGCATATAGAGCTTAAATTTTTAAATTATCAAAGTTATCGGTAGCTTTCGATATCGTTATCGTTATTGTTGTATTTGAGTTTGATTGCCTGCGTGCAAATAAAACAAAAGAAAAAATTTTATTAGAAATCTTAACCCTATGCGACCATTATGTACCAAGGGTGGAGATACAAAACATGATTCAGAGTAAGTTACGCTACGCATTAGTTTTATAATCATGAAATCAACAAATCTATTAGAAAAATGTTCAATATTTTATGTGTAATAAGTATCAAAAATTGAAAGACGTTCACGATTTTTAAACGTATGTAGACACATATGTATGTAGGTGTAAACGTTGCTATAGGCTCAAGTTTAATAAAAATTTGCAATTGCAGTATTGGTATGCATACATATGTACATATATGAAAAAATCATATTCTGTACAGTTAGGCTTTTAATTAAAAACCGCAATAACTATCACACTTTCACTCACATCCTCTGTAATGTTGCTCATACGCCCCCGACAACAATATGCAACGACGCAAAAGTAGTACATACATACATACATACGTACATATTTATACGCTAGGTGCGATGAACATTTCCATTGCTATCTACTATGAATTATTCAACAAAATACCGATGAAAAGTTGTTAAGTGGACAGGTATGTTTTTATTAAAAAAAAAATCGAATATTCCTTAGAACAATAATTTCCGCATTGCAAACAAAAACGAGATTTTCGACGTTGCCCAGTTTCAGTGGATTTACTTTTTCTACTCCATTTTTTCGCGTGCTTGAGTGCTTGCACATTTTTAAATAAGTAAACAAAAATAAAAAATAGAAAACAAAACAGCTGATTGTAACAGAAATGTGATCGTTTGCGTGGGTAATGTCAAAAACGGCCTGAATAGTCTAAGTGGCGTGGAAAGCAGCAAACCGGTTAAATGAGATGACAGAGTTGTGGCTGCACGCACTCAAATTTGCGAAAATACGTACATACATACATATGTACTTATGTATATAGTTCTTAATGCGATCAACATTTGCGATAGATAGCACAGTTTGTCAACAAACCAGATTATGAGCCTCTGTATGTCGAGTTTTTGTATGCTCACACGCTTGAGTAGCGTTCAAAAGCAATACGTTGCCGATTGAGTATCCACATTATTGATATAAATTTTGTTTTAGAATTTTTTATTTTGCCTGGAAGTACCAAGCGCTGCTCTAAAGCTCAGCGCCACGCACTGATTGCTTGCTTAGATGGGACGGCAGATAAAACTGAACCACGAAAGTCACAAGCAAAGGATGAATATAGATATAAAGAGAAAGAATGATCCCGAATGTGTACACAAAATTGGTTAATTAAAATGTAAAAATCGTTTTTTTTTTTTGGATTTCTCGCTATTGTTGTCTGCAGCTTAGAATTTTGTTCACTTGACCGTTAAAGTAGATCTTAGTAAGCGAAATTTGATTCTCTTTTCTACGATAAAGAACACTTTTTTTAAGTTTAAGAAATAGTTTCTCAAAAAGTGTTGTTCAAACGAAAATTTTCGCAAAAATGATGTCATAAAGTAGTCAGTTCAATAAAACGCGTTTTTAACTTGCGGCGTACATTTTTTGTCAGTCCAAAAAAAAAAACAAAACACGAAAATTTTGCATAGAAAATTGTATTCTTGAAATATTGGAATTTTAAATGAATTGAAAATTAATTGGAGAAAAATTAGTTTGCATGATTTATAACGAGTGGATAAGCAATGGATTTGAGCAGAGATATTGTTGAAGCGCAGTACGCAAAACGTTTATAAGATTTAAAAGTAAACAATCAAGCTTTAAAACAACTTGATTTGCTACTTATCACTACTACCTGCTTTGGCGCACGCGCTTCAGCAGTTTAGTCAACTGGAATAAATAAATTTCTGATTTCTGTGCAGCGTTCTTTTAGTGGGAGAATATTCCAGTTAAAATTAAAAAAAAAACTTGCTTCCTTAAAAAAATTAACGCTTTAGTATTCTGGTCCGTTTCAAACATATGTATGTTCAAATATATGTATATTTAAAAAAAAAAAACAATAAAAGTTTCTCTAGACACTAGCAATAGGTGTCGGAAAAAAGAAAGCCATGCCAAAAAGTATTAGCGAAGTGCTACTTCAAATAAAAAAAATCGACAACGACAAACAAATCATAGAAATATA